GCCTACCTAAGTTTAAAATATTAGCAAAATCAAATTTTCGACCCTTGCCGCGGATTTGCCAAAATGTCTGATTTTTGCTGACAACCACTCTTAAGCGTATATCATTTATATGATTTTATGTTTAATTTTTATCTGTACGTTCGGATGCACTAATAACTAGCTGACTACTAGAAATATTTTGAAGGACAAAAAAATTCAGTTCGAAGGAAGCTGTTAATATGAATTGAGTCGCAGACGGAATGCGCTGCGAATTCTCATAGTTTTTAATACATCTAACCACATGTAAAATTAACTTTAATTGTTTCGTATTATAGATGCTTCGTTATTTGTTGTCTAATAAATCATATTTAATATTTTTTTTAATATGTAATTCCAGGTTTTTCCACGTCACTTGATTGTGAAAGAATGCAACGTAGCAGAGAACATAACAGTTACCTTAAGACCAACTGTTCCTATTTTACTCACCATGAATATCTCTGGATCTGACAGTGTAGTGGTGTCTGTGTTGATACCCCAAAAGTACAAAGCACAAAGAAGACAATGTGCAGTTGACAAATGCCAAGTTGAACTGAAGACACAAGACATAACTCGTGGTAAAACAATCACGATTAGAGGAATCTGTGACAACCAACAAGACAAAAGACAAAGCTTTTCCTTTCGTCTCAAGCCGCAAACCATGAGCAGCAATTGGAAAGATGTGGATAACTATCAAATGCCAGCTGTCAAGGTACAAAATAAAAGAGCTATTCCACACAAGAGCGTTAAAAATGCAAGTGTACACTTTTAGAACTTAGGTTTATTTGCAAATGATCAAGAACCGCACGCACTGCGTTGATCTGTACTGTATAGCAATTCATCACTGATCCGATAATTTTACCGTTTTCTATTAGTATAGGTAATAACACGGTTTCGAGTTCAATTTGGGATTAATTTGCACGAGAGTGTGTTTTTCGAAGAGTTGAAATTGCACGAGACCGTAGGTCCATCCATCCATCCATCCATCCATCCATCCATCCATCCATCCATCCATCCATNACCTAAGTTTAAAATATTAGCAAAATCAAATTTTCGACCCTTGCCGCGGATTTGCCAAAATGTCTGATTTTTGCTGACAACCACTCTTAACTATTATTTTGACCTAATATGTAGCTAAGTATTTGTAGGTCTTTGGCACTGAAACACAAAGCAGAATAGAACAGCAATAAAGGTTTAAATGTTAAGGAAAGTTTTTCTACCAAATCAAAGCATGGGACAAAYATGATAGACCAGAAATTCCTTTCATGCCGACACCACTGACACAAGGGGAAAGCTTGGATTTATTTTTATAACTTTTGTCTTCTTAAAAATGTCACTAAAAACATTGAAAGGAATGGGTTTTTTTTATATATATATCCATAGATGAATCCAAATGCGTATGCTTTTTTGACCATTATTATTTTRCATTCGCAAGGTCTTGGGTTTTGATTGCAAGCTCAGACAACTCAACTAAGCCATAACATTCAATTTGCCTGTAACTACTCGCAGTACATCTGAACTAAGCCTACTACAGACTTAGCTAAGGCGACACTACATTACCTAAAGCACTGAGTCTTGCGCGCGTTAATATTTCCTTCAAAGAGTAACACAAATGAGAGAGAATGCTAAACAGTTAAGATTAAGAACGTGCTTGTATTGCGCTTGCTTATTTGTCCAGAGGCATTAGCAGAGTCTATATATATAAATACATGTATTTTTTAGTTTAAAGAGGTGATGCGAGGTGTGAGATTTTTTTAACAGACCTATCTGCAGCCACGGAGGAAAGACCCTCGCTCTGACACACTGTTTCGTCCTCTCTTCTTGATAATGGTGTTAACGGCCTCTCTCTCGTTACCGAGTATGGCATCGTTTTCTGCTTTAGACCAAGGACTTGCTCCTAAATAATGAGTACATGGTGAAAAAGAAAGAAGAAAAAAGGGGTTTGTCTTTATAGCTCGCGGAGGGAGAAGGAGTGGGCTTAACAAAGGGTAAAAATTTAAGGCAAAAATTACTTGCGGAAAAAGAAAGATTTCCAGTTAGTTAACCATAGACATTGATCCATTTTTTAAAAAGGGCTCCCCCTGCCCCCTCCCCCTCAGGCACACACACACCCTTCACCCTCTGTACATTTAAATGCCCTGCCCTTAGCCCAATCATAATAACCCCCTATCCACACCCGAGAGATGCAACCAGACTTCATACCGTTGGCGAGTTTTCCTGTCTTTACGTAGTTTTCTGTATCTTCAAGAGTACCATCCGACACAAACAGTGCATGTAACAGCTGTGCCCGTGTCATCCCCTGGGTGCATGGCAATCTCTGTTTAATAAAACATAGCACAGCACTGCCGATTAGTCTTCACTGGACTACTTCGAGGATACGTCGGCCATCTTGGTTCGCAAGGCATTATGGGGCGTCCAGGTTGCTAATATAGCTTTGTTACAGTAAATAATAACAGCTCACCACAAGAGAATACAACACAAGATGAATTAAGAAGTCACATCGATCACCTTTCCCCAAAAAAGAAAGACAAACAAACGCAACTCTATATATTTTCTGTCATCTTTGTTTTGTTTTTCCCCTGGCAAGATGGCCGCCGTATCGTCGAAATAGTCCATTGGACGGACACGAAGGAAGCTTGAGAATTGGAATGAAAAGGCTCCTAAAGATACCAGAAACTCAGGAAAAGGGCTGGATAACTACATTTAAAATTGGTCCCAATGAATTGTTCTTGGAACGTGTTATACTGGATCCCAATGCGTTTATACTAAAAAATATATATTCAAAACTTAAGAATATGAGTTAAGTTCTAGACTTAAATGTATGAATGTTACTTGACTTCTTCAAGACAGATTGAGGTATTGCGTTTCCTTAGACACCAGCATGGCTTCTCAGCGTCCTACGCACTCGTTCTTAGAGTCTGTACACGTTGCGTGACAGACACTAAAAACGTCTGCCTATAGGAGACTACATGGCGATGAAATATCATGATGTCAATTATGATATTTTCAAACAAATTTATTTCCATAAGAATGGTTTTATTATCAGAACATCTGGAGCTGCGCTTACCTCAACCTTCAGATAATTCTCAGACATCTTCTCCACATAATTCCACATGATACCATGATCAGGGGTCTTGGCCGTAACAGTTGATTCCGTATCTTTCCTAGTCTTCCCCTTTGTCCGGCGTGGTGTTGATTCTTCGTCGTCGTCATCACAAAACAAGTTTCTACTGCATGTTTCCTGTGYCATCTCTGTTTTTCTCCCTCGTCGCGGTGATTTTGAAGGTGACGCTGTGGAGTTCACTCGGGCTTCAGAATTTACTCGGGCCGCCGTTGGAGATTTTTCAGTTGAGGACTGCCCTCTTGTGACTATCGTAAATGTTTTCTCACGATTATCTGACCCCTTTTCTTCCAGACTTGATTTTCTCTGATTGTTATTTCTTGTCGTTCTTTTTCTCCTGTTTTGTCGTCTAAAAATAAATTCATCCTCATCATCTTCCTGGGTATCTTTCGCGGACGTCTCATCTTCAGACCCTTTATCATCGTTATCATGCGATTCCTGATGACTACGGCTAAAAGAAGCCTTTTTAGCTACGGATAATAATCTCTGATCGAAGTCATCTGTGTCACTGTCCCACTCGATGACATCTTGGTGGTCTGTTGCCATGGTGACACGAATTTCGGGGTCCATACCCGAGACCGTGTTTCGGGTTATAGCTTTTCCTTTGGGAGAAGGGACACTGCCCGCACTGTCACTGGTCCTGGTCCTGGTTGGATATCGACGCTTCGTTAAGGGGCTTCCCTGTTTGTCCTTGTCTTTCAATCGAAACACTGGAGTCACTTGTCGAGCCACTTGCTGGCTATATACATCAAAGCTGTTGTCTGGCAATGAGTGGTCATCCGATTCACTTTCTGATAGCTTATTCTCTACTTGTCTTTTAGTCACGCCTTGAACCTCTGGGCCAGCATCTGATTTCATGACCCTTTTGCGCCTTCTAGTCATACCTCGCCGTTCCAGAGGCTGTTCGTCAGTGTCGTCATTGGAGTCTAATGCTTTTTGTTGACGCCTGGTTATAGCTCGTCTACCTGACGTCTGTTCAACAGTGTCTTTATCTGATTCGATTTGTTTTTTATGGTTTCTGTTTAAAGCACGTTGAGCCAAAGACTGGTCATCAGTGTCGTCAGTGTCGTCATTGGAGTCTAATGCTTTTAGTTGACGCCTGGTTATGGCTCGTCTACCTGACGTCTGTTCAACAGTGTCTTTATCTGATTCGATTAGTTTTTTATTTCTTCTGGTTAGAGTACGTATATCCAAAGACTGGTCGTCAGTGGAGCCTGATGATTTCTGCTTAGACCTTGTTGCAGGTATTTGACGCGGTGGCTGGTCATCAGTGTCGTCATCAGATTCCATTGCTTTCTGAGGTGGTTCGTCGTCACTATCATAATCAGATTCCAGTGCTTTCTGACGTAGTTGGTCATCACTGTCATTATTAGAGCCTGATGCCTTACGCTGAGCACTTGTGACAGCATTTTCTTTTCTTCGTCGGGGAGTTAATAGATTGATTTCAACGTCACTATCTGAATCAGTAGAATCTTCTTTCCTTGACAAATGGGATCCTAAAAAAAAAATAATAATAACACCACCGAAAAAGGTGGTCCTGTTTTTTTAATTTTACTTGTGTAATAAATATTTTTTACGAGGGGGGAAAATGGCTCTGAAAGGTGAAAACGGTGTGGTTAAGACTGGACCAAATGTACTGGTGGCTACAGCCCTGACATATTTGTAATAAAACATTGCTATTGTACCTGATCTCTTTGACTTCTTTCTAGGAGACTCAGATCCTTGAGCAGAACTCATTCTTTTGCCTGTCAAAAAAGAAATATTTTGACAAGGCTTCAGTTATGGATATTTCGAATTTTAAAACATACTAATACTGAGTGACTTTAGATACATGGAAGTGCAGGCTGTGCGGCTATCGGTGGTGCTCTTGATGTTTTTGGATGATAAGCACTTCTAAGTGCCAAGTTTGGTGAGATGTGTATATAATTCTTCATTAAGAATTAAAATTCCATACCTGCTGAGTATGTTTCCAGAGTTTTTTGGCCTTTTGGGCACTTTTTTCTCTTTCCATGAAGAAACTCAAGGTAATGTTTACGCATTGACTGCCAAGTGTGATTAGTAACCTAAGAAAAGATTTTCCATAGTACTGTTACAGATAATTGCACATTAGGAAGATTTTTGTGATCAAACAAAGTAGTACTTTTYATTACTTTATTATAGGCCATGGATTTCCATAGTGAGTTGCCTTGAACCCTAAATTTATTTGCATTCTCTTTCTCAATATAATCTAATATTGCTTTGTCATCATGAGCTGTATACTTTAATCGTTTCTTTTTATTCTTCTTCCTGAAATATATCAAAGGATTAAAATTACATCATTTCATAATAATTGGTCCTCCAACCAGTCTACTTTATATATGTTTGGTATATTCAATACCCACCCCCCACCCCCTCCCCAAATGAAATTTGATCTACAATGTAGACTTCTACACCTTCACTCTCCAAAAATTTTACCAACTTCATTTCTAGAGTGCAAATAATTGAAAAACCCCCAAAACAAGATAAAAAAGTCTCAAATATGTATGCACTAACCCTAGGAAGACTATTAAGAAAGCATTACAATACATACTGTACCACAAAATATCCTTCAATAGATTACTTATTTTATGAACTTACTTGGCAGAGCCTGGTTTTTCATCTTCGTTAGATAATTCTTTATATCTCACCACCTCTATTATACGATTTGATCGCTTACTGTTAAATGTAATGTATGTATATAATGAGTTGAATAATAATAACAGTGGCAAATGGCTGGACATGATGACCATCCACATCATACCTGATGAATATCTGACCAGTTAGTGTGCGGTCTAAGAACATATTGGCCAGATAAGTGCCAACATTATTCTGGATATATTCTTTTGACCATTCTTAGCACTGATTATTTAACGATTATTTGCCAAATGCGAAGTGATAAAATAAATGAATAAATAAATGAAGTGATTATCGATGAATATTTACCGAGCCGCAAATAACCTGCAGAACAAAAAAAGTTGGAGTACTATTAAAGTGGTGTTAAATAACTTACTTGACAGTGTTCGAGTCATTTTCATTATCTTGCTGTCTTACCACCTTCTCTGCATCCTTTTTCTTTTTGCTCTTTATTCTAAATGTATATAAGAGAGAACATGTAAGTTTTGTGCCAAAAATTTAACACAAGTTTTCTGTTTCCCAAATACTGTTTACGTTGACCATGAAGGAAGTAATTCTTCAGAGAGTCTTATAATCATGACAACAAAATTGGATAATAGATACAACTTTAAGTTCCTTCAAGCTTGAGTGTTCACCAATATTATCCAAGACAATTAATAAAAAAGTAGAAAAATTTTTCTTAAGTCAATTTAGCCTCTAGGCATTCAAAAATGCAAAATTACAAACAATTTCCCTCATATTATACAAAACTAAACCTATACATGGTAATTTAGCTGAAATAATATATAACTTGAAATGTATTATGCTTGCAAATAAAAATGTATTGTATTGTAAATATCTTAAAAATTCCAGTCTTACCTATAATCTTCGATATCCTGGAGAAACTTTTTTTCTACGCTATCAAAAATGAAATCTGAAGACACAAACCCTTCAACTGGATTTTTAGGATCAGTGAGCCTAAGATAAAAAAGAAATTAGGCAGTCTTTAGCTTTTTAAAAAGCTGAGGTTGAAAGTTACTTGAAAACTTTCGACAAGAAGTTGCTGTTTTGAGGAACTGAAGAGTTAGAGGTGTGGGATGGATGGCTTTATGCACTAGTCATTTGAACCCCACGTGAAGACCCCAGGAAAGGGCTGGGAATTTAACATTTATGTTAGTGTTAAAAATTTACAACTTTCCCCTGTCCCTGGGGAAAGATTTTCTTGTAGTTGCTGCTGTTAAAATCGTTAAATAAGTAGTATGCCTTGACTTCCTCATATCATTCTGCATTCTTGCTGTTTAATGACCATTAATCCCAGTCTCGCTGACTTATGTCATCCCAGGGTCAGTGGGTGAGGGTTTTAATTGACTAGTGCATTAGCATCCAGTCTTTGCTAACATCCATTAAATTTTCAAGACTCACTTCACAACTTTTAATGTTATGAATTATACTATAGACTGCTATGTTTTTCAATCTAAGACCCTACTTTTGGGGCTCTCAGCAGTCATCGTGCCCCATAAATCAGAATCACAAGTTAATGCACAGTTGATCAAAACCAGCTGAGTTGAGTTTATCATTGGTGCTAATCCAAGATCTCAGATATTATGACAGTACAAAGGCTTCACATAGAATTTAATTCCATATTAAATCTAATGTGTATATGATCTCAGCCCAGACTAACTTGAAACCCCTTTGAGAGCTACGCTGGTTTGAACACTTCAAAACAAGGAATATCTAGACCCTAAGTTTAAATATTTTAGAAAGGCAGGCTTTTGCTTTAGTACTTACAAATACTTACTTAATAACTGTTTCTGAGGTAGATAGTTCGCTAGTGAGCGTCCCGCCGCCAATCTACAGTAACAAACAAACCAAGTAAGCATACAACTATGGCTCAGGAACAAAACAACAACATGAAGACGTACGTCAAACATCGTAAGAATTGAAATAAAGAAAAACCTAGCCTTAAAACACCTTGTAGCAATATTTTTAAAATCCTACCTCAATAATAGGTAGTAGCTTCTTTTTCAAACTACAAGGCTTAATATAAAACTCCATAGGACGACCATTTTCTTCGAGAAAAATCATCGGAGACACGAAGCTCAAGTCGCGCGCCATTTTTGAAACAGTGTGCGCAGGGGATTCTGGGATAGCAATCCTTGCGCCACAGGTAACCCAAACTATTTCATTTTAACACTAGTCATTCATTGCACAGAAAATTTACAATGTTCGTGGGAATTGGACTAGGAAAGGCACTAGGAAAGACATTAGGAAAGCAGAGTTCGTAAGGAAGATAATGAGTAATTTAATTGGATTCTATTGAAATCTAAGTTCTGGTTTCAAACACCTAGCGTGGGCTACCTGTGCCAGGGAAACTTGAGGAAAAATTGTTAAAGTTTTTTTTTATGAAACCGAGACTAACGATAAGATAACCGTTCTATACTGAATAGAACCTACCAGAGGAAAAAGTTAGAAAAAAAAAACAAGGAACCCCTTCGTCATTTAAGTTCGAAATCCGATACACAAGGTCACGTGACGCCTCAATGTCAGACAATCAAGTCTGCGGTCTGCGTCCAAGCGTGGAAAGTAGCTAGTAAACATTGACCAAGTAGTGATAGCGTTCGGATAAATTTGATAGTCAATTTAAGAAAATTTAAGCTTTTCTCTCACCCATAAACTGGTGATTTCAACATACTTGATGATCAGGGTAATATCRAGTTCATTTTAACGTATTTTATAGGTGTTTCGATTGATTAATTCATGATGAAAGAGGACGTCAATTTGCCACCTTCTCGAAGCCAGCCTGAAAGACCAACAACATCTGCTCTAAAACAAAGATCAGCGGAAGCTATACCCAGAGATATAGACTCTAGAGCTTCCTCCTGTAAGTATCATTACTAAATTACTCTGTTTTAGTTTCAGAATTGTTTGTAATTGAAATTAATATTCTTTATTTCAGTGAGCAATACCCCAGTATCCAACGCTCGACCCGTTCCACCTGGAGTAAGACTAACTTCGTTATCAGCTTTATACAAGCCAGCTTTCAAACCCTACGCTTTTTCACATATGTACAATACTAAATATAGCAACGATTTTCAAGGGACATACGCAGCACCGCCGTCACCGCTAAGGTAACTTAGAAATGTGCGCTGCGCTCATGATCGTTTTTGTAGTCGCCATAGCAACGACCCTTGAAATAACTGCGTGTAGCAAGATATCGTTTCCCTAGCGCTGTTGTTTAATAACTAGATAATGTTGATAATAGATATAATTATACTGTATCGTATGTATTATACTTATAAAGTTTATGGAGAATTATACATTAATAAAATACTATATAAGATTTTATGAATGTTTATCGATCGAGTTGAAACTCGTGACACAGGAAGCCCAATATAACATAACCTCATAATACTCTTATACAGTATGCATAGGCATGGAGGAGGGTTCGGGAATTACAAGTTCTTGTTTTGTTTCTGGATCCTTTGAGTTTGAACAAGATGACAAAGGAGATGCCACCTGTTCAGTGATAYGCATGTTTTTATGTCAACAGGCCTGAATCAACTAACTACGCAACAATAGATTATAATTTCACRACAACCATGTATAATCAACATTTCCAAAAACCAAAGCCCATGCCATTAGCATTTGTGGTACCTTATTCAAGACATCGACATAATAATCCCCAGCCTCGTATGGCCAACAACTACAACTATCCAGACTCTGTGAGTACATATATAGTGATATATACTGCGGTTTGCATAAACTTTGTCCCATTTTATGGAATATCATCCCTGATATTGTTTTTGAGTTGTCTATCACTAGAATTAATTAATGTAATGACTTTGTTGATAAGTTTCTTGTTAAACTTGCACTTCCAGTCACGGTGGATCTGGTCATCTCCTTCAGCGCTACAGGGTAGCCGAGAAACACACTCTTCACAAGGTATTGATTGTAATAGCATAACGTGTCATGCCATATTTTTATGTCAATAGGAAAATCCACAAATGATACAAAGAAAGCTACCCTGAGACTTGCTTTAGTTTTTCTTAGTCATAGGCTTTGTAGCCTATATGACCAAGAAGCACTGGAACCAGAGAGCTTTTAGGTCCCACGGTAAAATAATTCTCATATATTGACCTCTTTCTCTTTTACTCCGACGAAGGACTAGCGTCCGAAACGTCAGTAAGTTTTTTCATCTTTTTCACGGCGTATAATTTACCTTTTCATCATTACTGTTTCATTAGAAACACCRACGCAGCTCACACTAGTTTTTAGCTAGTTACATCTTCTTAATTCTCATATATAAACATTTAATTTCCATTACTTGAAGACTTCAAGACACCCTCTCCTTTAGCCAACACATGCAACCCCGCCCCTCTTCCCTAAAAATAAATCTCAAGCAAAATAAATTGAATTCCTGGGATTTTTTAACAGGTCCTCAAGGATGGAACTCCAATACTCGTATTCCTTACCCTCGGCACCATCGCTGGTGTTCAAGATGATGATCTAGCAATTCTACACTAGCTTGCTTTTTCATCCTGTGAATACTGTGTCTAATGTATCCCATTGCCAGTGGATCAGCATCAAGCCGCTGATGGTCAGAAAACCCGCTAGGCTCTGGAAACAAGGCAATTCCCCAAAATTAAAAATCGATATGTTTTAGGGAAAAAGTTTTAGTTTGTAAAATTAACTTATTTTAAATATTAAAAGATAGTCTTAAAATTGATTTCCGAGATTTAGTATCAAGATTTTATAATTATTCAGTCTTAAATTGAAACTTTTACTCAGCTGCAGAAATGTGCAAAAATGGCGTCTGTTAATTTATATATTTTAAAAACAATTGCTTTCTCCTTTTTTCTTCTAACGCGGTGTAAATTTGATGTTTAAAAATACAATATATATTAAGCGTTTGCTCAGTTATAATGACTTAACTGAAAGTTTAGGCAATGTGTATATGTAAATTTTGGATTTTCCCCACAGACCCCCACAGCAGGTCAAGACAATGAAAAAAAATGACATTGTTAGTTGAACCTGTTATCTCCACTAGCAACATTGTTACGTCAAATAATTATATTCGTTGAATTGTTGACTGTAAGATATCTTTTGGGTGAAAAGATTCTATTGGTTCTTCATTGTCAATAAAGCAGCGAACGGCCGATGTGGTTTGCAAATAATGACTTTCTCTCTCTTTAAAAATAAGAGACGGCAACGATGAATTTTTAATAGTAAAAAGTCATGTTTCGTCCATTTGCAGTCTTTTCATATTATCGCGTTTGAGAGAGAGATTTAAGTAACGCAGAGGAGACTTTTTGCAAGAAAATAATCTCGTTATGGCTCGGGAAGAATCAAAGACTCAGCCATCGCTCCACAAGTACATGAGGAGAAGAAAACTTTTATCCAAAAGTGGATTTTACTTGGAAATTAAAGGAAGTGGCGAAGTGTCGTGCACGAGAGACGAGTCAAGTGTTTACAGTAAGTTCTGAGATCTTCTCTCTTGAGCAGTGTAGTGAAGAATATACACGATTAAGCCGTGAAAGTAGGCTTTATTCAAGTAAACCATGTGCTTACACAAACATGGCCGTCGTTACAAAACGTGAGATTCCGCTGACCTAAGGCAGGCACTTACACAGGTAACCCAACAASTAGTAATTACTAAAGAGTGTTTTTGTTAATGTTTGGTACATTAATCACTATTATCAGTACAAGCAGTTTTAAGCGAGATAAACTCGAAAGACCAATCTAAAATAACTGAATACTTTTTGCTGCAAAAATTCAGGGAACTGATAATTGAGCGGGGAATTACAATCAGTGGTTTGTTCGGTCACTCTTTAATACTGAGGCACCTGACTGCATGCTGAATTGACCCATTTGCACTGCAGTCTTTAATTTTAATATAATAAATAAACTGTTCTGTGAGATAATGGGAAAATATACCCAAAAACTAAAACGCTATAAGATGATTGAATCATTTCTAATTACTCTACATTTATAGGCTCGCTTCTATTCCTATCTATTGGACCAAATTTTGTAGCCATTGTTGGCGAGGAAGCAAGAAGGTACTTAGCAATTGACGAGCATGGCAAAGTGTTTACAACGGTGAGTAATATAATTTATAATATAGTTAAAGCTAGGAAAGGAAGAACACACTTTAACTATGCTACGTTTGCTGCTTAAAGCAGTTAATTCGGTGCAGTAGCCGCCATGTTGCTGGCTGAATTTAGGAAAACGTTTTGTCACTAATGGTTTAAATTTCAAACATGGTGGTCGCCATGATTTTCAGTGTTAATTCATCCTCGAAAACAATTATAAATAACCAATCTAAGATTTAGTGATGAGCTCTTCCATTAAATTTGATTAAATTAGTGCCTTTTATTTTCAGATGACTGAAAGAAAAGAATGTGTGTTTCGTGAGTTTCTGGGCAGGAACTTTTTCTCTCTCTTTCGAACCTGCCATTCAGACTCCAAGGGACGAGGATGGTACCTTTCCTTAGATGACCTGGGTAAAATAAGAACAGAAAAGGTATCTTACAGTAATGAGCCTCAACTTCACTTCCTTGTCAAAGTAGTAAACGAAAAACATCACGGGAAACTGTATCAAACACGTGAAAGGAGGGCCAGGGCACCGATGAGGCATGTAGAAGATGAACCAGTGTGGGTTCGTCGTTCCGCCTGTGAAAGTTCACATCGGTCAAGGTCAAGATCGTCAAGTCCAGGAAGTAAATCTGGAAGATCTAGTAGCGCAAGTCCAGCTAGTACCATATCTGGTCAGTCAGAATATGGCAGCCCGGTTGGGTTCTTGTATGGTCGCCCTGACATAAGAAGTCCAGTCAGTGTGTCTGGCCGATCTGAATATGGCAGTCCATTACCATTTCCTCAACATTCTGGTGTAACAAGTCCAGTCAGTGTGTCTGGTCGATCTGAATATGGCAGCCCATTACCATTTCCTCAACATTCTGGACAAACAAGTCCAGTCAGTGTGTCTGGTCGATCTGAATATGGTACCCCAATACCTTTCCCTCAACATTCTGGTCGTGTAAATAGTCCATCAACTTTAGCTGTTCATCCTGTGTACAGGAATCCAGGGGCATCAATGTCTCATCAGTCAATTCAAACTAGTCCAGTGAAAGATGGTCAACCAAGTCCAGGAAGTTTATCGAGTCAATCTAGCAGCTCTGTGTCCAGTAAAGGCTCTGTCCGTTTTGGGAAGATATACAAAGATACTCATACTAAACATCTTTGAGCGCGATCGTCATTTWAAAAAAATCAAAAGCCTTTTACGATATAGTGTCTTAATTTTGGTATAAATCAAAAGACAGTTTCCTAAAAACACTCTTTTATTTCTTCTCCATTCGTAAGTTAGTTGTTAATAAGATTATTTTACGTATTGCATGTCCCACACGATTTTTTGCAAGTCTTTCTCACGTGTCTGTTTTGATGACAGAGTTTCTGCTTTCTCCAGAAATGGCACATGACATTATTGTCGGTACAAAGAATGTATTCTGGTAAAAGGAAAAGAAAAAGATGTTTATATTCAAAGAAAGTATTGAATGATACGATAAGATGCTGGAAAGGGGAGGAGAGGATCGGAGAGAAGAAGGAGGGATAGTCTGCGTGCGTGCTTACACTGTAAACCCAAACATTATTGGTTTGTTTGTTACTTTGTACCCTTAATTCTTCACTTGCTATTATTATTGTTGAAGTGCGACCCTCAGAAATTTGATGTATTGTTCACCGACTAACATTCAACGATTATCAGTCAAAGAACTATAATAGAATAGCAACACAGATCTCGATGGAGATTTTGGACTAAATTAAAGGTCTTAGAGGATTAGAGTATTAACATTTTTGATTTAGTGTAAAATCTACCTCAAGATTTTTTTTTTTTTTTTTTTGAAGCTCTTTTTTTGACTGTCGTTAAAATTTTAGTCAGCGAACGAGACTTCAAACTTCAGGGGTCGCATTTCAACAATATTGGTTATAAAATGTCTTGAAATCAGTTATTATACTTACTGCTTCGTTTCTGGCATTTTTTACCAGCGCTGCACAAACGAACCAAGGATGGTTTCTGTTGTGTGTGACATTGTTTGTCATGAAACCTCTTCCCACTCCTTGCACGGCAGACCACACTTCTTATCTGTCTTCCAGTTCCGCATGTCACGGAACATTGCGTCCATGCACTTGTCTGATCAACCAAAAGAAATAATATTAGTTCCGTGTCATTGAACCATTCATTTGGGCGTAATGTTTTCCAATTTCGAACCAAGTGTCATTAGCCAAGTGTCATTTGCTGAGAAGAAGATTTTTTATTTGAGAAACGTTAACGCACACATTAATGAATCTTCTCAAAATCATTATTTGGTGAACAAAGAAAATTATGATACTCAATGGAATGATAGCCCAACCAATCTGAATGGGTTTATATTGCCCGATTAACATTGGTCAAACTGAAGCGATATGACCAAAAACGGTACCTTCCATTTTGGGACATCCCATTGTTTTTTATTTGGACATGGTTGGGTGTTGCATCTGAAAAATGTATAATGTTAACGTTAAATGGAATAGTTTTCACCACATTTTAGCTACCACTTTTAGTCCTAAGAAGGTCGTAAGGTTGATTAAAGCAATTTATGCCTTCAGCTAGCATGTTGCGCGCACGATTGTGGGGTAAAATCATAACATGTAAATCGGCCATAATTAACGTGCGTCGTCCGCAAGTATTCATACAGTCATCAGCATCTAAAACATCTCATAAAATAACTGCTATAAATCTCTCGTTCTGATTGGTTGGGAGCGCGTGTTTTATAAAAGAAATGATTATGTTGTGCTGTGCTGTGTGGAGTAATAAAGCACTTGGGGATTGGCAGAACACTCAAGAAGTGTTGAGAAGCACCGCTACGCGTCGTGCTTTTCTTAACGCTTCTCTCGTGTTCTGCCAACCCCCTGCTTTATAACTGCAACAGCACGCGCGCGCGTTTTCTATTTCTTTAATCATCTTTACAGCATACCTTCTTTGCCATACTGGCGTCTTGGTATGATTACACATTTCCCATGCTGTTGACAACATTGCCTTGGTAGCGCAAACGATTTCTCTTCTCTGATATCCACCTCCACAGGTAACGGAACACTTCTGCCATTCTTTCACATACCATTGGTACGGGGATGGACAGGGCTGTGTATTGCAGTTTTTCCAGGCATCCGGAGGAGTCCCTAGATAATTAGAACTATAAGGATGAGGATATAATCGATTTATGCCTGCTAAACCTGCTCGCATGCTAGTTGATTTCACTGTGACACAGCAAACACAATGACTGCACTATTGTACTAGCTTGGTTGCAGTTTGACTTTTACTTAAGCTCTTTCTAACCCTGAGTTAAAGTAGGGCTGCCCACAGGCTAGCTGTAGATAGCACGTACCAGTGCAGTTTGAGTAATGAACTTTTTCTTCGCCATTTTTTCCTGCGCAGAATGTTTCTCGGTGTCTCTGACCACCTCCACACGTGACTGAACATTTACTCCATTCTTTGGCGTACCATTTGTATTCTGATTGGCTGGCTTTACTTACGTTTGGCATTTTATAACCTTGCAATTCTGAAATGTGAAGTACAAAAATTTCACATTTGCTTAGCAATTCAGAGTAGCCTATATGATTGATTTAGCTGTTAAACGGAATATCTGACTTTGATCAGCCTAGAGGTTGTTTTTGGATAGCGATAAAATTTGTAGGTTTTAAGCGGACGGGAATAACCTTGTTAACGCGGCAAGTGGATTTCCTTTATTCCTGGTTAAAATCGAATCCCGATGAAATAAATTACGCATCTTCTATTAACGAGGACTGAACTACCGTCAATAGATAATATGACACCTTGCTTCTCCCATGCTTCTTCTGATTACAATCTTCTCTAACCACTTACCTATCTTACAGACAGAGGACCGTTTGCTTGCACAGCTATCTGTTCCCCAATTCTGATGATTCCGTAGGATTGCGCAGTCCATTCCCCAGCGGGGTTCTCCCTCATTCCATGCGTGAAAATCAATGCTGCTCTCATCACTCCACATAAAATCACCGGCTGGTGAATCATACTTTGCTCCTGTTTGTAGAGATTTGAGACAGTAATAAAATTCGACGCACAACATTGCTTTTAACAGAACGACTTATATCACCAACCTGTCCAGAAATACAGGGTCTGTAGATTTTTACTTCTTATGAATTTTCTGATTTCTTCTTCTTCCTCTTCGTTACGAATGCTTACTAGACCTGCGCCTTTTTTCAAACAGCTTTCTTTCGCTTCGTCCCAGTTTGTTCGAGCCATTTGTAAATAGTAGCAGGCTTCTTTGAATTTGTGCCATCCCTGAGGACAACTTGCTGTAAAAATAAATTGTAAGAAGAAAAACTATTACGGGGAAATATAATCTAATATAATCTATATATATATATATATATATATATGAAGGCCAGAAAAATAATTATAAATCCTTATCACTCACTGCAGTTGCGTCCGTAGCACTTCCGCTCGGTTTCTAGTGGCCGCGTGTTTTTGCATTTTTTATCGGCGACTTTCTTTCCATCTTTCTTTGCGCAATAGATCTCTCTCTTCTGTGTGCCAACACCGCAAGGCTTGGAGCAGTCACCCCACTCTGTAGATCTCCACATGTATGGAAAATCTGTCATTAGACAGTGAAAAATTAATGGAGCCAATAAAGTGGACTAGAATTAAATTAAGATTGTGAGAATTTTTTTTTACTATTATAGAGGCTTTCACTGCTGAGTGAACGAATTTTTTTAATGTTTTGAAATGGGCATTGTGACTACAGGTTTACATATCTATAAAACTATCGTTCAACTAAACTATTTGAAATCTTAAACTACGATGAAATTTTAATCATTATGACTTACTAATCATTGATGAAAAATATTTTAGTAACTCGAAAGCCATGATATTTATGGCGTTTAGATATGGTTTTTTTGTCTGCATCATTTCGCAAAATGATTAAGAATGGTATATGGTATGGCTCTGGTATTTAACTTGTAAGAAACGCTAACGCAGCGCGCCACGCGTCACGACGCGCAGAAACCACCGCTGGTCTTACTGGTCATACCTGGACATCCATACATCCTATTCACTAGAAGCACATCTCCTTTCGACAAAAAACTTCGCTGACCAATGGYGTCTTGGTATTTTGGATCTTTTGTCTTAATCGTCGTAAGAATGTGAGACTTGTCTTTGGAAAGCTTGCCAAAGAAATCCTTTCCATAATGCATGATACTTTGATAGTCGTACATCACCCCTAAGGTGTCTGCTACTCCATGGCTGTAGATCTTGAATTGGGAGGACATTCCTGAATATAAATGCGCATGCGCAAAAAAAGTTTATTACTGGACTGCCTGTGGTAAACCATCCCTAAAGTAAAGAACTGTACCGCATCCGATCATAACACTGGATCATGACACGGCACAGCAAGTTCATGTGTCCGAATCGCAAAATDTTCACTGTTATTAAAGGCTGTTTATTTACTGGGATTCAAAAACTGGTTATATCTTTATCCAACATAGCTAAAATTGCACAAAAATCGTCTTACCTGGAATGACATTATCCCACAATATTTTGACATACTTGTTCCTATCAGGTCGTGATTGTGTGTGCCAGAGCCCTAACGAGTGTCCCCATTCGTGAATGACACTCCCTGCTGGGCATAAATCCCCAAGCCTCATCTGTTGATTGCGACCATTTCTACCTATAGCCGATGCGCACCTGCAAAATAAGGAAGAAGTTTCGTATAACTGTGAAAATCGCGGTACGAATGTGCTATGTCGTTACCGTGACGATTCTGTCTTCAAGCATTTTGGATCAACAATCTCGCGCGCTGTAGATGTTAGGATAAATTTTCTTAACGGTGCGCCGTTCGCGTGCGCAATTTCTCATCCTAAAACGAAATCTTCTATAAATTCATGCGTATCAGAATGCGCACGAATGATGCCCATGAACGTCCTTAAGGTCTTATGCAATAATGAAAACACTAAGATATCGTGTATTATACAACTAGATGAGTCCATGAAACTAAAAAGTACGACTACGAAAAGATTGCATACCTTCTGCTCAAGGGATCCTTTTCTCGTACCAATTGCACCCAGTCGCGATGATTCTTCTTTGGCACGAACTTCACGCATGTCTTTTCTTCCCAGTGCTTGATCCCAGATAACATCTTTTGCTCGAGCTGGTGATTTTCTGAGATAAATCAGAATCAATATGAAACTACGTGCGATATCAGTCCATCACTCTCGACGCCATTAAGAAAATGATATTATTTGCGGTGCAAATAGGAGACACATTGAAATACGAAAATTTTATGATTCACTGTGACCTAAGACAAGCACTTAAGCGGAGTACTTCATAGCTTTACTTACTTAGTCTGGGTGGAATAAGGTAAGGTATGATGCGATCAGGCCATTCGAAGTCAGCCTTGTCCCACACTGCCTTACTTGCGACGTCACTGTCGTAATGTAGTGACATGGTCATTGCTTGTTGAACTCTGGACAGTATCRTATCTCCTTCAAAATTTGCGACTTCGGGCAAGTGGCCTAGAAATATTTTAAAGACGAACCAGTAACTGAGAATTCTGAGGTTTTCGGAGTAAAGATATAGAATTGAATAGATATGATAACGTATCTATTGGAGCAAAGTAAAAATGGATGCTTCAGCGCTGTATGCGTCTTGAATGTATTTTGATAATMATGATTTGCCGGGTTCTATCCTTAATTTTCTCTTAAATTCTATGCATGTCGGCCTGTCTGTCTTGTCCGTCTCTTTCTCTCTCTTTCCCTTAAAGCTTAARTATACCTTTTAATTTATAGACATTCATAGCTTTATGACCACCTTCTCCGTCTTGACACTCGTCCGATTTCCCCTCCTTTTTATAAACCTGAGAGACACTGGCGCTAGTCAGGCATTCTCCTCCATCGCGTACGGCGAACATGGAATACCCAAGAYCCTTTGCAGCCCATGCGCACTTTAGGATAGGTTGTACTCTAAACGAAATTAGGAWATAATGTAGATAAAATACGCTGTCATCTGAATAACACAATAATGACAAGTAAAGGTAGAATTAACAAAGTTGTCGTCAATTTATCAATCAAAATCTTATACGTTAATCCGTCGTGGCCATGCAGTTCAGTGCGGGTTCTTACCTGTCCCAGTAAGCACCATCTAGTTCATCATCCTGGTTCTCTACACTTGGAATCAAGTCAGTAGTAGTGAAAGTCCAACAACCAAGGCTATGATATCCTGAATTCGCAAAACAGGCAAAATATTAAAGGATTTGCATATGAAATAATGCTATTCAATACTATACAAAATAGTAACATGTCTTCTTTKTTATAAAAATACCCACCCGTTAATGGCAACTGGTTATTTTCAAGGTACGGCTGTGGTTACTTGTCATTCATTTTGTAACATGAATGTCCAAAGATAATTTTCAGGAAAAAGAACAATAGCAAGGCGCATTTTTCGACCATTATATCTTACGTATAATCAAATARTTTTCGTCTCCATTTGCATTGCATCCTTCCTTCTCACTCTCTCCCTCTCTCGTTTTTGGTCGTATCAACGTGTTTAGTAAAAAAAGCATAGAAAGAAAAAWATTTTTGCTTGGATATACATAGATTTACCTAAAGATAGAACATATGATATATATTTATGGATGACGAAAGGGCAAAACGGCTTATAAACATGTATAGAATAATGGATGGGAAAATATGTGAACGTTGAAACTCACCAAATGATTTTTCGTATCCATTGGATAAAGAACAACAATAAAACAGGACAAAACAACACAAAAAAGCAAGTTTAACTACCATTGGAATCGAATTTATCTATCTAGAGGAGATATCCTTAAGAATCCTTGATTATGTTGTAGTTTTATTTGCCATTGACAGCTTGGGTACGGTGTTGCAGTAACCAAGAATAATATAAATGCAGCGAAAACTCCACTGCTCAGCTCTACTGGACGCGTAATTTTCTGGTGAATAACTTGGATTAATGAATTAATATACTGGATCTGTGGACCCATAAATTATTCAATAAATACAGTGATCAATAAAAAGAATATAGATACATGCAAAGCAGTTTTCAATTGCATGGTTGCACAAGAAAAAGAAGAGAACAAAATTGATTAAAAGGTAATCTGTCGATGCAATATTTGTTTTAAAATTTTGTAAACCTAACCTGCTTTAACAAATAAAGGATTGATTGATTGATTGATTGATCATCTAAAAAATAATAAGAAAAAAAGTGAACAGGAAAAAAATGAGAAAACGGGAAAACTAACTGAAAAAAAAAAGAAAAAAAAACATGAAAATAAAAAAAGTGAAATCTTAAGAAGAAAAGAAGAAGAAAGGTAATAAATTAGGAATAGAATATCATAAACAAATTTGCTATATTATTTCAGATTATCTATACATTTATTTTTAGATTTATTGATTTTATGGCCGTGAGAGACTGGCATTTAAAAGAAGCCATTCATGTGCCCTATTGTTCCATCTCCACAGCCGATTGGCCAGTTGTCAAAAATATCCGTCAATCAACGAATTTTAAACTTGGAAATGTGATCGTTGTAAAGTGAGTCCAAGGAGAAAATCGAGCGGTCGATTGTGAAGGTGGATCAAAAGACTTCCTAAATTTTCAACTTTAACATCCAAAAATACCCTGGAGCATCCAAGATACTTAAAGAACAAGTGCTATTTTATGGTATTTCCGAGTTTTAAAGCCAAAGGAAAGTGGTRGTCAATAATAATCTTCTTCGCTCGGCTTCCGGGAACACGGTTCTCAACGTTTGAACTAAAATGCCGTCTTTGACGTTCCCAGAAGAGCTTACTAAACACTACGATGTCAAAGAAACCATTGGAAGCGGTAAGTACTGCACTGGTTAAGCACGATACCCGTCTTTATTAATATTGCTATTTCATGAGAGAAAAACTATTTTAGTTCGACCTTTGAGCGAAATGTTCGTTAGCGCCGCGTTTGATTCCATTTGTAATCGAGTCTTCTTCCACTATATTTAACTTCCAAATACACCCCTTTATATTTACCTAATACTCTTTATTTCAAAACTATGTTTAYCTCTGCCTTTGGATCCAGAATATGGGAGAATATAGGCTTTCTTTTAAAATAAAAATATTTGAATTCGTTACTAGAGAGTTCGGAATTGTTCAAAAACATCAGCAAACTGAAACAGARTTTTTGCCAACTTTAGCTGCCTTTCCTTCATTAATTTCTCGATTTATTTATTGTTGTACAAATTTGTGTTATCAGCCAATTCAAAAAAAACATTGATCCAAATTTGTACTCCAACCTATTGTCCACTAAATTTGTACTTTGGATTCAAATAAGTCCTGCGTTTTGTAATTCAATCTTTATGGATTTTACAGTGTATATCGATGTTATTGTTTGTTATTTTTACCGATTTCTAAAGCTTAATGAATTCCTTAATTGTTCTGGAACAATCCTATGTTTAATAATATTCAGTGTTTGATTCTCATATGTGGGTATTCTAGTCTACTAGTGTGCTATGAAGATAAGGGTTATGTAAGCCCTACTGAGTGTTTTTATATATGTTGAAGAAATAGAAAACGCGCACGCGTGCTGTGTGCTGTCATAAAGCACGCAGGGGTTGGCAGAACACGAGAGAAGTGTTAGGAGAAGCACGACGCGTAGCGGAGTGCTTCTGGACACTTCTCGAGTGTTCTGACAATCCCCAAGTGCTTTATGACTGCACACAGCACAGCAAGCAAGTTTTTTATTTCTTTTATGAAATACAAATTRCAATAATAGATAGGAATGACGCAACAGAAAGTGCGCACGCGTGCAATGTGCTCTCATAAAGCACGCGCTCCAAACCAATCAGAACGCGACATTCATAACAGTTATTTTATAAATTTATATGTATGATACTAACTTTATTCTATAACCAAACTTTACCTAAATTACACACATTAGATGAGATTACAGTTCATGTAAATACTGTTAATAAATGTCTATCAGATAATCTCTAATCAAAACAACTAAACTTCAAAAGTGCATTTCATACATGCATTAAAGTGTGTAAACTCTTGACTTGGAATGGAATTCAAAAGTAAATAGGCTAATATARTTCCAATATTTTCAGTCATACTTTAAATCATGCTGTTTTGTTTTTCACCAGGTGGTTTTGCAAAGGTCAAACTTGGTATACATCAGTTGACMGGGGAAAAGGTTAGGGATTTCATATCATAACATTAGTGTTTGAATTGATAATGTACCCTTTGTTGAAGCATGTTTATGGCTATGTCAAGTCTTYTCCAATGTCATTTCTATTAATGTTTTCTGTTTTCCTGTAGCTACCTCTTTATGATATTAAACTAACTGCCAAAAAAATCCTGCTTTAGGTATATTGGTTTACAAGAAAATTCCTGTCAAACCTTCTCATGTTGACCTTGGAAGGGTGTGACAGTAGCTTGACAATTGCATTCAGCACCGGAATTCTATCAGTTATTAAATACGTTRTAATTGTTTGCTCTTGTTCCATAAAATACTAGTTAAACCCTACTAAATGTTTTGCTTTATTTGTTGTAGGTTGCAATAAAAATGATGAACAAAGCAGCTTTAGGGGTAATGAGAATAAATAAAATAATAGGGAGTTCCTTTTTATAACTTCTTATTATTTAATAGCACACATAGTACAATATAATTTTCTTTATTGTCGTAATGCAATTTACATTTATGAGAGGTGGAGGACTTTACAAGCTGCACTATTAACTTATGAGTGAATTGTTAATATATAATTTAGTTTTATGCCTCCRAAGGGATAGGATGGTAGGTGATATGCATACTCCTTAAAGTTTATAAATATTATGCATAATAGCGATCAATTTACATGTTTTAATGTTAAGATTAGTTGGAAAGAGTATAACAGCAGCCTATCACAGCACTTGCGCTGGAGCACAAGTTCTTTGGGAGAGAAAGGAAATGAACTTTCTGATTAAAAACTTAAACATTAACATAATACATTTTTCCTCTTGACTTCAGCATGACCTCCCTAGAGTCAAGAGAGAAATTGGAGCCATGAAAGAGTTATGTCACCAGCATGTTTGCCAGCTCTACCAAGTYATTGAGACAGCAGAGAATATCTTTATGATTCTTGAGGTAATGGCATGGAAGAGTATTCCAGGATAACCCATCACAATGTAGAGTGAAAATGTGAACCAATCAGGAGAGAGCTYCAGAAATAATAATCAATTATTTCATGAGCCTGAGTCTGCTGAGTTGTTAATTATATTTGATAATAATATTAATTTTTATASTTAAAACAAATCACAAACAGGCAAACTGTTTGCTTTGGGTTTCACAATGAATATTATTTCCAGTTTAAACTCATCAATAATAAAAACAACAATAATAATTAATGTCTGCCTGACTTAATATATCTCATATCTTATAATTGCCTTTGATAMTAGCAAGCTCAACTCCTGAATAGCTCAAGTTGCAATGCTTTGTTTTTATCTTATCTTACAAATTGTTTACTTTATTTGTAAGAGCTATCATMATAATTGTAATCATTTTTTATTTAACAAATCTGCTTATGTCATTATTTTTGGTATTTTTGTGTAGTTTGCCCAGGGGGGAGARCTTTTTGACTACATTGTGGCCAAAGACCGTCTTAAGGTGAGCAAAACACTGTATCTGCACTGTAACTGGAGTCTATTATATAAATGATTGGCAAATTTAATATGGTTATGTATTTTCTCAAATAATTTCTTATTCTGTTTAAATTACAGGAGGAAGAAGCAAGAGGATTTTTCCGTCAGATAATTTCAGCTGTTGCATATATTCATGATAAAGGTTATGCACACAGAGACCTTAAACCTGTAAGTAACTGGATGAAATAATATAGATTAATAAATACTATGTCAATTATAGAGCTAGTGGCTGTTTCCACCTTTGGATTCAAATGAATTTTTTTTCTAGGTTAGAATGTTCTGAATTTTACATCATCTGTCATCACTGACYCTACAATATTCACAATTGATTCTCAACATCTTATTTATATTCCTAGGAAAATTTACTTCTTGATGAAGATCAAGTAAGTGCATGTGCCATTTATTTATAGATACTAATTAATTATATATTCACAATCTTTTCTTTGTATGTCTGTCTGTCTGTCTGTTCTCTGTCTGTCTGTCTGTCTGCCTGCTAAGAAACCAGCCATCAAATTTATCATTAACCTCAAAATATCTGTACAACATTTTACCACATTTTAGGGCTCATGCCAAGGCATGTTTAACTCTTTTGTAACCATCGTGTTTCTTCTAGAATATTAAATTGATAGACTTTGGTCTTGTGGCTAAACCAGAAGGGGGCATGACAGAACAGCTGGAAACATGTTGTGGTTCACCGGCATATGCAGCACCAGGTACTTTTCTTTAAACAAGTCTGGGAAAATTAAAGAACRTACTCATTTATCTTCTAACATTACCAATTTCTCTTTTCAGAATTGGTATCTGGGCTGCCATACTTTGGAAATGAGGTTAGTTCAAAGATATGCTTTGTTTATATAAATTTTATGCTTTAAATTTGTAAAAAAAAAAAAAAAGGTTTATTTTGGTCATCTTTACTGAAAAAAGGATACATTTATTTTTCAATCCCCACCCTGGTTGGGCACGTGGTTGGCGTATAAAAATAAAAATAAATCACTTTTATTTAAGTGTCTAGTCGTTCTAGCGCTTTCGCACTAATTGAGGACACTTTTCACTCACACGCACAACCACAACATTTAATATTCTACGCACACGACGCTCAACTCAACTTATAAATGATTTATTCAAAGTATATCTTAATACTCATATTATTTTACCTGTTTATTTTAGGTTGATTTATGGAGTATGGGTGTCTTGTTGTATGCTCTTGTTTGTGGATTTCTTCCATTTGATGATGAAAATACATACAAGCTATACAGGCTTATCCAGGTAAGACAACTCTCTAAATATTATTTCACTAAACTGATACATTATAGGGGTAAAAATAACGAATTAAAATTATGGTCAAATCACAAGTTTGGCTTGCTGGTCATTTCCAGTAGTGGAGCCGAAATGAGGTATGACTGAGCTAAAACTAATTTGACTGCTCATTATTGACCAGTTATAAATGATTTGATAGTCATCGGCAAATTATGCTTTAACTTAGGAAATCATTCTTTTCTCTCCTTCATTCATTCATTTGTTGATTCCATACACTTTCACATTATTTTTTCATTTTGTTTCATTCACATTCTTTCTTTCCCATTTTACAGAAAGGAGAATATGAAATTCCATCATGGCTTTCACCAGGTATTTATTAGAATAACSCGCAAGGCTTTATTTCTTAAAAACTTCATGGTTAGATTAAACTTGTAATTTGTTGCTGACTTTCTCTAGATTATTTAAAGATCTTCAGAGTTACAGCTCTATATTTAACACTTATTTTTATTAAGCCACCATTTCAAGCTTTTACTGAACTTACTAATTTTCATGCTGTTATTTTCTAGGAACATTAAGAATGATCAATCAACTGTTGCAAGTAGGTACCAACATTTACAGCACAGCATTTACAGGGGCGGATCCAGGAATTTGTTAAGGGAGGGGTGCAGCACACAAAGTCAACCCAGGGAGGGGTGTACCCCTTAGAATCAAAGGGAAAAAACATTATTTTGTATCAAAGTAGGGGCACAAAGTTGAACCAGGGAGGGGTGCGCACCCCTGCACCCCTCCCCTGGATCCRCCACTGATTTACATACTTCTAAGCATGGGATTTTTGATGTTAAACAAAGCTCTTTTACATGCCTTAGTTTTTTAAAACCTGCAGCCTGCTTCACATGGAAATAGTCTGTTTAAAGTACACATTAGCTTATGCTTAAAACTATGCAAATTAATTATCGTGAGTCTAAAGGATTGGCCATGGGAGTCTAAAGGATTGGTCATTGATTAGCATGCTTTCATTAAGTTTGGGTGCATGCAGGAGGCTGCTAAGTACGAAGGACTCTAGCTTCTTGAGTGCTTAAGCAATTGCYCTATTTCACTATGACGTCACTGCTTGTTTATGTGGGGGATAGAATCGCCAAATCCAATAGAAAATTTAACAAAATTTGCTCCTAGCGAAACAGTTTAATCTAAATGGCCTGGTTTTCAGATATAATATGTGTCAACATGTACTAAAAAATATTCTGAGCGTTTGCTGGCTATTTTACTTCTCTTCGTGGATTGATAYGGGTTTTAGGATAATTTTCGGTGAATTTGCGTTGATTTGACCCCCTCCGACGACCATGATCCTTTGCCTTTAAACAATARATTGTTTTGATGTGACRTCATAGTGAAATAGGGCAATTRACCAAATGCAAATTCTAAATTTTAATCTGCACTTCAGGTGAATCCAAGAAAACGCATAACAATAAAGGAAAYGTTAAATAATGAATGGGTCATGAAGGGTTATGCTGCTCCAGTCCAGTGGAAATCAAAAATAAAGGTATATCTAAAAAGAAGTTGTTTACAACTACATTAACATGACAATTTTTGTAGTGACTGCTTACTTTTACTGGACCATACTTATCAAGAACAGTAGTGACTCTGACTGCCTTTGCCATGACAACCTCACAAGAGGAAAGAGGCATGTAAATTATTCATCACTTCTCTTCCCACACTTTGCTTACCTTTACGTGCTTCACATATTTTCACCATCATTCTGATGAAGACTATCACTAGTCATAGCCCAAACATCATGCCCTTAAAAAATMTATGCATGTTATCCGTAATCTTACATTTAATTGCATACTTTTACTTAGTCATATCATGCATTTTGACAGTGATTCTATTGCTCTTTTAATACTTCTTTTCACAGCGAGACTCACCAGATATTGAAGTCATAGAGGAAATGGCATCCTACTACAATGTCTCACCAGAGARAATGGCCAAAAAAATTCTAGAGGTACGTGCACCAGACTTTGGTAATCAGAGTTTACATCAAGGGAAATCAAAGAATGCTCCAGTAACTGAGCAAAATTCTCCATAACTACCATTATCTGCCCATATTAATTCAAAACTTAATGAAATCCATGCCAGGATTCTCTGGCTAGTTCATGATCTTCTCCTAATATTTTAAGTACTGTTTAATAAACGAGCAGGAGTGTTTTATCAGGTATAAAACAYGAGGCCTAGCCGAGATAGACCCGATAAAACAYGATCTGCGAGTTTATTAAATGGCTTAAAAAACTCCAGATGTATGTTCTCATACTGTACCGAATTCTTTACGAAATGAACCAAGTTTGATAGAGAAAATCCAAGTTAAAGTTTATGCAAATGAAGACGAATCTATATCAGATATAAAACCTCCTTCATGTTCATGATTTCTATTGTGTTTCCTTCATGAATTATTAATGAGTTTTTTAACACGTAATAGAAACCTTGGGACGGGTTGTTCATCAAAGCTGGATTAGCGCTAATCCAGGATTAACTCTATAGGTCTTATTAAGAGTTAACCCAGGATTAGCACTAATCGGGCTTTGAACAACTGGGCCCTGGGAAGCTAAGTGGTAATAACGGCCAACCCTCAATGATTTTTGGAATTCCTTTATTAATACCTGTATCACATTTAGTTATTTTTTCGAATCCCCATTTTTGTAGTGGAAATACGACTCAGTCACAGCTACATATTTCTTGTTAAGAAAGAAAAAATGCAATGGACAATTGCCTCATCTTCTTCCAAAATATTCCAAGTGAGTGAAATTATGTTTACTTCTTTCTCCTTTTTACCACTTTATTCTCTAACGTTGTGTGATGTGGTGTTCTGTTAACAGGGCATTCAGAGACTTTAATGAATCAAAGGAAAATGAGGTAAGTGTGAGTCAAAGTCTCCTCTCCTCTCCTCTCCTCTCCTCTCCTCTCCTCTTATGTTAATTGGTTTGTGTCATATCCATCTTGCTTCAGCATCCTAATGTCCGTAAAACCGAAAACGAGAGAAATGATGTCGAGTTCGTCCTCCCTCCTCCAAAGCCTGCACCATACAGAGGGACCAAGGGACAAAGGCCCATTCTGGGGAATATGGGGCCATCTGASGACATTATTTGTAAGCCACGAGCAGGCAGCATGCCTAACAATATGCCCAGTTCTCCCTCTAAAAATGATACCATTTCAATGCCACCACCATTAGCGCCAATCACTCCAAGACGCAATGCACAAGGTAACTACATGACTAGTTTTATCTCTAATGAGCTTGGTCTCAGTTGCACTAACTTCTGATCGTTTGCTTTGACTTGTGCAAAATTACAGCAACTTGAAAAATAAGTGTCAAGTTTTTCTTTGAACAATAAAAAAAGCAAGTTAGTGCAAATAATGTTATATACATTGATTTGCGATTTTGTTTGAACTAGTTTTTAAAGTAAGTACCCTGCTAATAACATTTGTAAGAAATTTGCATGATCGTTGTTTATCTTTTTTTTTTTCTTTTTTGCAGAAGGTTGTGACATCCCAATGTCAAAATCAGATTACCAGTTTGGTGCTAGTGGGCTTACGCCTATTGGACAAAGTAGTAGAATGTAAGTAAATGACATGATGATGATGATGATGATACATGATGATACATTAGATGATACATGATGATGATGGTGATACATGATGATGATACATGATGATGATACATGATGATGATGATACATGATACATGATGATGAGACACAGATGATACATTACGATGATACATTACGATGATACATGATGGTGATACATGATGGTGATACATGATGGTGATACATGATGATGATACGTGATGATGATACGTGATGATGATATGTGATGATGATACGTGATGATGATACATGATGATGATACATGATGATGATACATGATGATACATGATGATGATACATGATG